CCACATGGCAGCTAACAGCTGTCTATAACTCCAGTCCCAGGGGATCAGACAGCCTCTTCTGACCTCCGTGGGCACTGCATGACACGGGTGCACTTACCTACATGCAGGCAATACACACATACACATAAAATAAAAATAAATAAAATTTTTACATTAAAAAAAAAAGATATTGTCACTTTCTCCCAACCCCCATCAACAGCTGGTTTCCCCTCATTTTGCCAATAGAATGCATTGTTTCCAAACCTAAGACCTAACCTGGAAGTTTTTGCCTTTCCTCTTTGAGAGTCCTGAGCCAACAGGCTATTCTTCTGGAGAAACCATGTGAAGAAAGGCTCTGGAAGAACATGAGGAAGAAAAGTTAAGCCATAAGAGCTAGTCAAGCTTCCCAATCACTTCTGTTCTAGACAGTATCTGGCTGGAACTCTTATGAAAGATCCCAAAGAAAATTAGACAGTGGCCCATGAGCTATCAACCCAAAAAGCCACTAAAGAAAACAAAAGGTGAATGTTCTAAATGACTAAGACAGTAGTTACAGGACAATAGGAGATCATGACCAATGGGCACAGGTGCTCCAAGCTTTTCTTTGCAAGTGACATTGTAACTTCCAATCATATATCACTGACCATATTTCATGTCAAAGGAGTAAGGAACTACAGATCTGCTATGCATGGGGGGAGAAATGGAAATAATAGGTGGGTAGTATTAACATCTCCTAGAGAAAAGTTATGACTACAGAGGTGCATCTTCCATATAGACAGGCAAATCAGGAAGTACATACAGTGCCAGGGAATAAAAGTAGGAATGGGAGAAAAAAATGTAAATGACATGTGCTTGCAGATGATCTCTAAAAGGTAGTGACAAGGAGGAAAAGAGGTAGAAAATAATCAGAAAGAACAGCAACAAATGCACAAGGAGGAGTCTTGGAATTCAATGAATTTCAATAATTCAATAGCCTGGTGCACACCTATAATCCCAGCACTAAGGAGGCTGAGGTAGGGAAATCAAGAGCCCAGTGACATACTGAATTTGAGTGCAGCCTGGGCTACACAGTGAGATCTTCTCTCAACACACCACCAAAAGCCAGGTATAGTGGTGTATGGCTTTAATCCCAGCACATGGGGAATCTCTGGAGATGGAGGCCAACCTGGTCTACATAGCAAGTTCTAGGCCTGCTGGGGCTAGAGGGAGACCCTGTCTCAAACAAAACAAAAACCCAGAATAATCAAGAATAAAAGGCCAAAATGGGTGATACAGGCAAGGGATCCATAAACATTCAAAGAAATAAATCAGTCTCAGACCTCACCAGGGAGAATTAGATTTAATATCATTGAATAGGTGGAAATGAGATGAGGGCACTCTGAGAAGACAGCATGAGCAGTCTCGAATGAACACAAGTAGAAGACATGGGGCCATGCATTCTAAGGGGAAAAGGATCACTGTAAGATAGAACATCTGAGATAAGTTTGTCCAGGAAAAAGAAGGCAAGGAGTTTGAGAGTGCAAACAGCCTCATGAATTACCAAACCCCACCACACCTTGAGGTTAATGTCTGATCAAAGGAAATTAGAATACAAGAGTAGTCCCTTCATATGGGAATGAAGTTAGAAAAGAGGCCAAGTCACCAGCTGGAAAGTTATTGCAGTGTTCAAATCAGGAGTATCCTATTGGGAAAGATTTATTACCTCAGGGCAACAAAAGGAAGCACTCCTTTATACTTTCAGGAGGCTTACAATAAATAACCTGCTCTGAGTAAAGTGTAGGGGGGATTTCTAGTGTAAGTCAAGACCTTTGTCCTGCCAAGAACAAAGAACTTTTTGCTAGTTAATATTAACTACCCAACATTTCCTATCCTACATAAGTGGCAACAGAACTATAATGCTTTTTAATTCTTCCAAACCAATCAGGTGAAACAAATCTAAATATTTTATAATTCAGCTCCAAGGTTAAACCTGATTGATCTATACCAGAGCAATCAGTACCAACCAGTACCACCCTCCTAAGGGAGCATGTCCCAACCAGTACCACCCTCCTAAGGGAGCATGTGTGGCAGTGGAGGAAGAGAGTTTTTCATGTCCTAATGTATGGGGTGACACCAATATTCAGTTAAGAGACCAATCATGTCAAAGGCCTGGTAGAGTCTTGCAGAATTCCCAAAAGCCAGGTAACAAAAAGCAATCTCGCTGTCAGTTACTGCTTTAGGGATAGTGACCCAGTTCTGGACAGTAAGACATGAATGGCCTACTATGAAGTCTCCAGGGTTTGTCTGCTATTGTTGCTTCAGCTGTACAGACACTTTTGAGAGTGCTACCAACATCTCTTCCCCAAGACCAGTTTCTTTCAGATCTTGTTTCCATCCCTGGCATCTCCATTTCTTGCTACCAAGTCCTAAAACAATTTCGACTTCTAGTCTTTAAATGTAAGATGACCATTTAGGTTTGCCTGTGTCAACCTGACTTTACTCCTGTACTTTCAGTGCAAACAGTAGATGGTCACTTACTCCCTACTGAAGGCTGTTCACTGTGCTCAAAAAATATTCTAAGGCAGAGGTTGGCAAGTTATAGCTTACAGCTATTTTTGTACCTTTTTTTGGCAAAGAGGCAAAGAAACTTTATTCAAATTTGGCAAAGAAATAGTATAGGTCAAAATATTCTTATTAAAAGTGACATCAGGTCACATGAATGAAAGAATATTCAAGTGCCCCAATTACTGAGTTTCAAGAGAAGGGCTTGGTTGAAAAGCTACGACTCTATTTTGATTGAGAGATTTATGTTATGTACCATTTCTCTACTATACCTGTGCCTTTCCATAACATATATGGCTTTAATGATATGCAGGCCCAATTATGCATTGCATAAGATAGTAAATATGGAATTCTCCCTAAAAGAGCACATAATGGACAGAGTCCACCTTATTGTGTGCACACCCAAAAACTGTTCAGGCCAGACTGGACCATCTCCCTTGGTTTCAGAATGTTACCAGACATGTTTGAACAGAAACAGGTTATTATCAAGGAACTGCTAAACAGAGTAACTTATTTACATTGTTTAAAGCAGGAAAACACGATGCAGGTGAGGATCTGAGTGTATGGACACAGTACATCCAGGTAAGGTCTTAGGCTGCAAAGTGCATTATTAGAAGGGTTGTACATTCTTTTTTTTTTTTTTTTTTTAAAAAAAAAAAGATTTGTCACTTTTATTTGTACCAGTCATTTGATTGCTGGTATGTTTACTGGTATGTGTGAAGTGCCCACAAAGGCCAGAAGACAGAACTGCCTGCCATGTGGGTGCTGGGAACTGAACCGAAGTCTTCTGGAAGAACAGCAAGTGTTCTTAGTCGGGGAGCCATCTTTCCAGCCTCTGTTTTTGTGCCTTCTGAGGGTTAAAACTGGCTTTTACATTTCTAAGAGATTTAAAAACCAGAAGGATGTGCTAGAGATGTAGCTCACTTGGTGGTAGAGGGCTTGCCTAACATTCAGGAAGGGGGTAGGAGGACCAGTTCGAGGTTATTCTCAGCTACATATGAGGTTCAAAGACAGGCTGAGATACTTGAGATCCTACCTCAAAAACAAAATATTTCATTGCAACTGAAATTTTCAGTGTCCATAAGTAGTTTTAACTGGACCACTGCCATATTCAGTCCTTCAAGTATTAACTACGAGTAATTGGAATGGAGACCTTACCGCACATAACACCTAAAATATTATGTAGTTTGCTACAGAAAATGTTTGCCAACCCCTGCACTAATACCTCCACTAGCTTTGAGTCTTAATTCGCGTAGTTACCAAAACCTGTTACCTTGTTTCCCATGCTACCCCTTCAAGGTGCCTGCCTGCTAAATCCTCTCTCTAGGTTGTTAATCAGTATCTTCAGTGGTTTCTCTAAAGCCTGACATTACTGTCCTATAAAGACTATAGCAACTAATACATGTAACTACCAAAACTAATAGCAACCACAAACGACTATCCCTATTTTTCTGGGCTACCTCTCGCAGGTTAAGGCCAGAATGAACTTTGTACCTAACAAGCCCTCCGTAGCTCACCCCTTATCTATGCCTGTCCTCCATCCCTTCGGTTCCTCAAAGTTACAGGGACACGGCACCTCCCTCGATCCACCGTCCTTAAAACACAGGGCTGGAAGATGCAGACGCGGCCGCATGCACGGCAGGTGCAGGTCTGTCAAACTAGCTGGCGTAATTGGGATGTGGCGTAATTCACGCTGTAAAGCGAGGGCTCCAACAGGCTGGAGGACGACCCGGAGACACAGCAGAAGCTGGCTAGACAGTGCAACAGGACCACGAACTTCCCTGCGCCGGCGGAGACGGGAGGCGTGGCCCGGGAGCGTGGGCCCGGACCAGTACGGGGTATCCTCCAGGAGCAGCGGCGGCCCGGATTCCCTAAGACTAGCGTCGGGGCCAGCGCGGAACTCAAGCCCAGAGCTCCGCACCGCAGCCCAGCTTCAGCCTTGCCGCTGCGCCCCCGAGGGGACGCACTAGCAGTTCCGATTCCGTTCCGCCCTCCCCTAGGCCCCAGCCCGCGCTGAGGTGTCCCAGCAAGCGGGTTCCACCCGCGACCACCGAGAAGCGTGACTAACGGGCGCACGCGCAAAGAAGAGAAGGGCTGCCGAGGAAAGTCGAGCGCTTGGCGCTTCCGAGTCCGCGCACGCGCCCTGGCGTCGCCCCGCCCAGGTACGTGAGTGCGCACGAGCAAGCGCGCGGCCGTCTGGGCCCTTTCTTCTCAGTCCCGCCCCTGTCTTGGACCTTCCAAAGCCAAGGCAAAGAGACAGCGAGAGAGCGACGGAGCCGGGAACTGTGGGGCGAGGTGGGCGGGGCGTCACCGCGCGCGCGGCCGGCGAAAGCTAAGAGCAGCCAGAGAGAAGCGAGACAACGTTACCCCGACATCCAATCGTCAGCCGGCGAGGCCCCGCCCCATTCTCTCACGTGATTGGCTGCGAGACCGCCCGGTGGGCGGGGCTGGCCTCGGGCTTGGGGAGGGCAGGGGGCGGGAGGAGGAAGGCGCTGGCGGGCAGTGATGGCGGCGGGTGATGGGGACGTAAAGCTAGGCACCCTGGGGAGGGGCGACGAGCGCGGCGGCGGCGGCGACGAGAGCCGGGGCGGCGCGGGAGCGGTGGCAGCCGGGGGCGGCTGGGCGGCGGCGCTGCTGGCGGCGGGCGGGGAGATGCTGCTGAACGTGGCGCTCGTGGCGCTCGTGTTGCTGGGGGCCTACCGGCTGTGGGTGCGCTGGGGGCGGCGGGGTCTGGGCGCGGGGCCCGGGGCGGGCGAGGAGAGCCCTGCCGCCTCGCTGCCCCGCATGAAGAAGCGGGACTTCAGCCTGGAGCAGCTGCGCCAGTACGACGGGGCGCGCCAGCCGCGCATCCTCCTCGCGGTCAATGGGAAAGTCTTCGACGTGACCAAAGGCAGCAAGTTCTACGGCCCGGGTGAGGAGTGAAGGGGGGACAGGGACATCGCCAGACCCCCGCGGCGAGCACCTGGACTGGTGCCACCCTTGGTTGTGGGCGCCGAGTCCGGGGTACTCACCAACAGCGTCGGCTTTGGTGCTCTTCCCACCCCATCTCTACTAGAAGCTTTTCGTTAGGCTGAAATTCTCAAAATTCTTGAAAGTAGTCTCTAGTCACGTTGGCCCTGTCGACCTTCTTGAGATGGGTGGGGGCCAGAGGGAGGGGAGATGGCAAAAGTGGGAGCCTAAAGTTTTCGGCCTTGTAAGTTCCCAGCTTGCTTTTTTTCTTTTCTATGTTGTCTTTTTGACATTCACCTATTTTTTCCTTCTCCGGACTACTACGCATAGGGCCAAGTTTAGGGACACGTAGTTTCTAGTCCCAACCCTCCAGGCTGTGGAACTTAGTGTAAGCACAACCTCAGAATTTTTTTTAAAGCCAGTTTTGGTTCCAAGATGCTTTCCAAGATTAACACTGCATGAGATGAGGAGGAACCAAAATGCAGATCTTATTAACCTGCAAAGGTATTTGCCCTGACTGTAGAGGGTGGAGCTCATCTGCCCAGCAGGCGTGTCGGTGTGTATCTGGTTCTTTCTCTGTTAGTAGGGAGCCAAGTGTTCCAACACACGTTGATAATGAGTTATTGTATTTTCCCTAAAAAGAACTGAAGAAAACAAAACTTGGAAAAAGAAAATTCTGAGCGCCCCCTCCCATGCACCAGTTCTGCAAGTTATAGGTTTTTACAGTTTTGCTTTCAGAGAACTATGTGTAAGGTAGTGGCTTTAGAGGACCTTTTACGGTGTAGTTGTAATCTACATTGCAAATTACGCAAAGAAACTTCAGACTCAGGGAACTTATTGGTATCCCGTAAAATTGAGCAATATTGTGTGTCCCAGTTATGCAGTGATTAATAATAATTAAGCTTTAAAAAGAGATAGAACAGCTACAGTAAGAATAATGGTTAGAGACCAAAAATGACCTGTTACTGGAAAGAGTGCATCCAGAACCTTTAAAGTCAGAGGTTTTCTTAATCTGTTAGTACACAAGATTTATTGGCACACTGAATGTATGCTTTTGACATCAGTGCTTGTGTTAATATTTTAGATGTGTTTTGGTTTGTTGATTGGGTTAGAGGTAAGAAACTGGAGAGTTTTGGTATTGAATCTGTTTCTTAGTTGTTTATATTTCTGAGTGTATATCTACCGTCAAAGTCTCAGGTATGTATTTGCTTGTGGATATATAAATACAGACACCAGATGTCTCCCTACTTAGATCAGCTGAAATGGTTAATACTTAAGAGCATGTGGGATGAGAGAATAGGACCAAAGTACAGTATTTGCACAGACCACATCAAATAAACTTTTTAAAAGTCAAGACTTTACACAGATTTTGTACCTAGTTACAGTTTTTTCCCCAGTGGTATTAAAATGTGTGTTCAGTGGTTAAAGATTGCCTAGAGTATTTGTAAAAGGAATTATTATTAGTCCTCACACGTTAGGAAAGAGTCCAGACAGTTTGGCAGCCTTGGGTGGCAAAATGTGTGACAGAAGTTAGAAACTAAGGTAAGAGTAAAGAATGGAGAACTAGCTCCTGGGTTAATAAAAATATCTGGAATATTTTATTATTGAGAAGAACTTAAATTTTGCCAGAGCCCCTCAGAAGCTTAGACTGTGTTGAGTTTTTGCATGAATAAAAGTGTAGTAACTGTACTTTCTGAGCCTTGATGCCAAGTCTTTGTCTAGGAAACAAATGTAAATTAAGCTTTGCCTTTAATTTCATTTTTATTCTCAAATGAAGTAATTTTTGTAGAAGTATAATTAAGCCAGCATTGATCCTTATCAGAGAATCTTAGTCACTTGAAAGAACAAGCTGAGAGCTAGAAAGCTTGTTTTCTATACCTAGCCAGTATTCACTCCCATTTCAAAGTAATGGTTTTAGGATTAAAGATTGTTCAGTGGGTTCATTTTCCATAATGTTGGACATAATTTCTTTTAGTTGTGCATTTTTTAAAAGTTTTGTGTTGGTGTTGGTGTTGTTTGGGGAAGGGATGGGCACAGAGTCTCACTCACTCTTTAGCCCTGGCTGGCCTGGAACTCAAAGATTCATGCCTTTGTCTCCCAAGTGCTGGTATTTAAAGGCATGTACCACCACACCTGGCAAAGTTCCCCTTCTTAAAAATTAAATTAAAAGTTAATACTACAAATGTAGTTCTTGCCAACTCTTTGCCAAAATGTGTTTAACTATGTCAGTATTAAATTCATTAATAGATCAGGCACTTGGCTAGCTTGGGAAGAAAACATGAGCATGTAAGAAACAGTGAATTTGCTGGGCACCTACTGTAAGTATCAGATCTCTTCATTTGTCATCTTTGAAGTTCTTTGGTGAGGTTGCTAAGTCTTTCCTACAGATGAGTCTGAGGTTTAAGTAAGTTGGCTTAGATCACATAGGTAAATCTGGAAAATTCAGATATGCTTGATATACTCTCTGGTAAACAGCATTCTGGGATGAACTTAATTAGTTTTTCTTAATACCCTCCCCTGGTTCCTCCCCATAAGATTTGCTCTTTTTTTTGGGGGGGGGGGTTTGAGACAGGGTCTGCCTGTAGTCCCAGCTGGACTGGAACACATTGTGTAGACCAGGCTGGCCTTGATCTCACAGAGAATAGGCTGCCTCTGCCTCCTGAATGCTGGGATAAAAGGCATGCACCACCATGCTCTGCTCCCCATAAGGGTTTTGAGCCTCAAACACAATTTGATTTTTATGGCTTTATGTTGTGCTAGCTGTCCAACATGGCAGCCCAAGACATAAACGACTAATCAAATTGAAATTAATATAATTAAAAAATGAGTTCTTCAATAACAATTAGCCATGTATCAGATGCTCAGCTGCATGGCTGCCACATGGAGCAGTATACTTAGAATACTGTATCATCTTCCCAGAGTGTTCTGTTGAACAGCATTGGTTCTAGAAGTCAGAGTGAAAGGAGGAGAATGCTCCATTTTTGAGCATGTTTCAAATAGCTCTACAAGATAACTTGTGTTTTGCATTTGTGAAAACTGAAATTAGGAGGTTTTTCCCCAAAGCACCAATCTACTAAGTAGCCACACTAGAAATCAAACCCAAATCCAGTGGCTTCACAGGTCATACCTTCTCACTGTCACATCACCTATCAAGTTCATGTTTACAGTCATAGGAGACTTTGAATATGCTAAGCGTATAATCTTCAATAATTATATTGCCACAGTAGAATTTTTCCAATACCATGCTTTTAATCTTCAGAATGTCAAAGCATGTACTTGACCTGTTCAATATTTCCTTTATTCCTATGTTTTCATCAGCATATATTAAAGCCACATCCAACTTAGCTTTTAAATTCCACCAAAAAAAGGAAAAAGTCACCTAAGAAGTTCTCCATGGGGTCTGGAGAGATGGCTCAGCAGTTAACACTGGTTCTTTCAGAAGACCCAGGTTCGAATCCCAGCACCCACATGGTAACTAACAACTGTCTGTAACTCCAGTCCCAGGAGATCCAACGGCCGGCCTCTTCTGATCTCCGAGGACATTGCGCGACACGGGTGCACTTACCTACATGCAGGCAATACACGCATACACATAAAATAAAAATAATAAATAAAATTTAAAAAAATAAAAGAAGTTCTCCATGAGCTGCCTAATTATTAGGTTGGGGAAAGGAGTGCATTAACCTTTATTTTCCTTCCTGTTTAATTTGTCTTCAGTATGTTAGGGTTTTTTTGTTGGGTTTTTTGGGGTTTTTTGTTTTGTTTTGTTTTGTTTTTGAGACAGGGTCTCCTTGTAGCCTCAGCAGTCCTGGAACTCACTATGTAGACCAGGCTGGCCTCGAACTCACAAAGATCCGCCTGCCTCTGCCTCCCAAGTGCTGGGATTAAAGGCGTGCACCACCATGCCCTGCTGTTAGTTTTTATTTTTTAACATTTTAACCTGTAAAATAGGCCAAACTCAGCCTGACCTAGTACTTCATAGATATCCTGAAGTTGTCACAGCCCAGCCGTCATTACAGTTTCTTGCTCTGATGCCAACTAGGGCTCTTGTTTGGCTAATTGCCACACACAAGTAAACGACTTTGTTATAACCTGATTCAGAATAAAAGTAAGGGTAGAGGTAGTAACATGTGGAATTAACCATTCAAGTGCTTTTCATGGTTTTTGGATAATCTGCCCAATCTGTCTTTCCTCACCGTGTGCTCATGTCAGACTTCTCCTTCCAACTCTTGGAATCTTTTGACACCTGTATCCTTTCTCAAGATTTTTAATATAATGCTTCATCTCCATTTTTAAATACTAAGAAGGAATGCCTTAGGTTTTATTACAGTAAGACCTTAAATATTATGTTTATTTTTTTATGTGTATGTGTGTATTGCCTGCATGTAGGTAAGTGTACCCATGTCGTGCAATGCCCGTGGAGGACAGAAGAGGCTGTCAGATCCCCTGGAACTGGAGTTACGGACAGTTGTTAGCTGCCATGTGGGTGCTGGGATTCAAACCCGGGTCTTCTGCAAGAACAACCAGTGTTCTTAACTGTTGAGCCATCTCTCCAGCCCCTTAAATACGATGTTTTGAGAAATGGAATTAAGAGGTTTCAGAACAGACAAGTCTATACCCATGTACTTGGTGGTCTGGTGATAAGGACAGGCTGCTAATACACAGGCATCAGTATGAATTATAGTCTGTTATAAAATATGCTATGAATGAAATTAATCCTATATATGATCAGAGATAGCAAGAAACTTAGGTGTTGAGAAGTATCTTATTTTTCTGCTAGATAATAAAAAGTTTGGGATATGATATTTTAAAACCTGAAGGAGCCAACTGTACCAAACAGGAGTGTGAGAATGTTCTGAAACCAAGCTATTACTAGACCTACTGTACAACCAGAAGGAACAAATGAAAGCCATCTAGCACAAGTCATATCAGACCCACTCCTGTCACCTCCATTGATTTGTT